AAACTGCAAGCACCATTTGTCTAAGTTCAATGAAAATTTGGTGTTTGCTTGATAAGCCATGATTTAAATTTCGTGTGCTGATGAAGCACAGCTTTAAATGGAGAAAAAAGGTCAGAATATCACTTATCACCATGTGATCATTAAAGCGTATTTGAAAATGGGAAAGGCATTGTTCAATAGTGAAATAAATACATCATGTCAAAAGCTTAGATTGTTTGCTAAAACTATATCTAGGTCTCTCATCCATTTAAATAGTTGTTGCATGCGCTTTCTTCATCCTTTTCATACCTGCGGCAAAATTAATTTAGAATAGTTTTAATAGTTCAGCATAGTTTCCTAACTGGGAATGAACCGTTAGACTGTCACTGCTGACGGTTTTATCTATTACTTTAAAGCAGCTTTGCTGTCTAATACAAAAATATTTTTGTTTATTATTAAATAGCTAATAATAAAAACAGTCATTTTTTATTTGTATATATATATTTATATAAAGCTATTTTCTAAAAATTAATAGATTATTTAATAGGCAACATTATTAATAGACAGTGAACTAAACTAACGATAATCAAGCTGATAAATATAGTTATATAGAATATGTATTACATTTGTATTTATTTATATTATCCTCTTTGAGACAAGTTATAACTTTCCTATCAAACTTCAGTGGCAGTCTATAATATATGAATATTTTTAGTGTTTTTAAGAAAACTTCACTATAGTCTAAAGAAATAGCTTAAATCGGTTTTAGAATGTATTTTGTTTTTGGATCACTAACTTTCTTTACTGAAATTTACTATATCTTTCTTGTTAACTATATTAGGATTATCAGCGTATAGGTATCAGTACCTTCATTGGATATCCGATATTATTCTTTAATAGATATTGCATTTTATCAATGATTTTTTTTATAATTAAGTATCTGTGTAATTTTGATATTAAAGAACCTTAAAATGCAAGAGGAGGGAGAAAGCTTAAGTAAGACGCCTGTATTTTTTCAGTGTAAAAAATTTGTAAAGAAATATAGAATAGAAAAATTCTGTTCTGAACTTAATTCATTATAATACTTAATCCTTTTACACTAACTATATTGATTGCGAAGTGCATTTATTAATTTATAACTGATTCAATAATACCATAACTAGTACTTTAAAAGAGTAACTATTGCAAAGTAGAAAATAAAATAAATATACTTATATCGATTATTCACTAAAATTGAGTAAATAATAAACGTTTGTATTGAAATCTAAAACAAGAGTAGTTCTATTCCAAAATTATTTAAAAGCTTGATCCTTTCACACTAACTGTATTGATTGCGAAGTGCATTTATTAATTTATAACTGCATCAATAATAACTAGTACTTTAAAAGAGTAACTAGTGCAAAGTAGAAAATAAAACAAATATACTTATATCGATTATTCACTAAAATTGAGTAAATAATAAATGTTTGTATTGAAATCTAAAACAAGAGTAATTCTATTCCAAACTCATTCAAAAGCTTGATCCTTTCACACTAACTGTATTGATTGCGAAGTGCATTCATTAATTTATAACTGCATCAATAATAACTAGTACTTTAAAAGAGTAACTAGTGCAAAGCTAATAAGAAAACAAATAAACTTCTATTGATTATTTACTAAAATTGAATATATTTCCACAAATTTTATACCGATTACAAAATACCATGTTAATTGCATTTTAATCGCTTTTGTTATTCCATCCAAAGGAACACGTGCAACTGAGGCACGCGAAATTGTTTTGACATGGCATCATAAAACTCGTTAATATTGTCAATCAAATTGACAGCTATAAATGACGCCATTTTGTACGAGTGCACAACATTTATATGGCATACTATATATGCACAGATAATAGTAGTTAATAACGATAAATATTTTACGCAGTCGACGACAATTAATGCATTAAATAACACTTTTATTTACTTTTGGTTGTTCACTTATGCCAACGAGTTTTGTTACACGCTGAACTTTACGAGTTCTGGTTCCTTTCACAAAGGATACACACAATTATAAACTATTTTTACACCTTTTGTTGTGGTATTAGTCCATATTAGATATAGCGATTTACTTTATGGGTTGGCTTATTTTGTTAATGTTGATGTTTGAATTGATATACATTTTTATTTTATCATAAATATTGACACTAATGACTTACCGCTTGTTTCTTTTCCCAGGACTTCATTGCAGTTTTGTACTTTTCGAATTCATGACACCAATCCGAATAAATTTTCTGATAATCATTACTCTTATTAGGAGGTGTACATCTGAAAAAAGGTAAAATATGTTTCAACAAAGTCTTAAGTAAGCAAAAGCCTAGTTAATATTTTATAATTATCTTCACTTAATGATTATAAATTAGCTGCAATTTGCTATTGCAAATATTTTGTTGGATATTTCGCTTACCTATGCGCGTCTACGGTTATATTGTAGCTGCACAACAAAGAGCCACCTAAGTGACAGTCATAACGTCCACCATCTGCTTCGTTCACGGATACCACAACTAAACCACGTTCCGTGGTCTCGATATACTTAATTGGAGTGTATTTTATTTCATAGCTGAAATTATAATATCATAATTTTAATATTTGCTATTTAACATTTAAGCCAAAAGCTTATAATTTAGTTAGTAATACAAACCGGCCCTTATCCTTGGAATGATGATACCAAGTGACTTGCTCATTTTTCAATACTTCAGGAATTTTCACAAAACAACCCAAATGTACGCTCTGTCCGTAGGTAACAACAATTTTCTTTTTCAAAACGCTTGAGTCACAAATATCGCTTGTCTCATTGCCAACATCCTGTAATCAGTACAGAAAAAAAGAAAGGATTTCATATAAGAATATCTGTATCTGTGCACCTACATAAACAAATCAAAAAAATAAAAACCAAACCAAAATGTGCAAATCGCATGCATGTGCAGATATGCAAATGTAGACGAAAATTTAAATACAACTGTAAAATGTCAAATTTGACGTTTGTAATGCATCAGTGAGATTCGGATTCGGATTGGGATTCGGTTTTACTTTATGCATACCTGCAATAGATCCAACTCATAGGGACGACATGTATTTGCCTCTTTATCCCAGCCGCAGTAAGGATCACGCACACACCGGAAGCAATTGTCATAACGTCGATTGCACATTGCCAAATCGATTTGCTTGACGCGATGATCTGTGCCAACGTACAACGATTTACGTGCCTGACTGATTTCCATCACTTGAATCGCTTCGTTCTGTGCAATTTCGAAAATGTCTAACAGTTTTGATAGTGATTCACCATTGCGGTAGTACTGTACAATTTTATAGATGCGTCCCAAATTGGTACCCACATAGTAAACTGTGTATTCCTGATTTAATATGTCAATTTTTATTCTGCAAGGAAAAGAACGAATAAATTGAATTTTGTTTTCTATTTTTCGGAATATTTTTTTTTTGTGATATGGAGAATGCTACAAATTTCATAAGTAGTATGATAAGTAGATATTATAACTCTCTATCATTTATCGATTAAAAAAATATAAAGGCATATCATATCAAATTAAGAATTTTCTTATACTTCAAATGAAATAATAAGTATTTGATACATATATATATTTCACGTTAAATTTTTATTTAATTAGTAGTAAAATAAAACTGTTTTTAGTTAGTTTTTTTTTTTTGAGTTTATATCAATTTTAGTTTTTATTTATTTTCAAATATTAGTTAAAAAATAATAAACTATAAGTTAGCATATTAGAAACGCTACTTGTTGTTGTTGTAGTCAGCAAGTATCTATAAAGCAGATGACATAAAAGGAACTACAAAGATGTAAACATATGTTAGGTTGTGGATAGGTACTGGTGGTGTGAGAGGGGACAAGATTATTTACGAGTGAGAATGGATTAGCGGATGAGTGTACCTTAAATTGAAGTTATCCACTACCAAGGCGATTGATCTTCAATTTAAATACCACCCACCTCAACCCACCTCATATCCCTATCCCCCCACTCCTACAACCAACCACTAGCCATCCACACCCTTACCCACGTAATCGTTTTGTCCATTTTTCCGTGTTATCTGCTCACAGGTATCAGCGATCTACAACAACAACAATAATAACAACAGGAACAAGACGGGGAAAAATCCAGTTACTTCTATGGAGAAGTAGAAACTCTAGTCGCACAATTCTTCAATATAAAAAAAAATCAATATAAAGCTTTCTTACACTAATTTGGTTAATCGGGAAAAACCGGAGTGTATGCCAGTTCGTTTAACTTATTAAGTTTCAAATAACAACGAAATACAGTGACAAATATCTTAATCTTATATAACTTATATAAGTTAATAATATAATAACTTATATAAAAAATGAACACAGGGAACTAGAAATACTGCACGGTGAAGAAAGATGATCGTTTAATAGAGCTTCATTTATATTAGCAACATAAGGCTAAAATTTATATTAAGTTGTGGCTTACAATAAGCCATTATTTGAGCTGAAGTCGGCTTTGGTGTGCAAGACCGTCTCTACTTCATTACTCCACTGCTCCACTACTCCATTACTTCAAAAAATACTGATATCTTATCACATTTACCTGAAAGGCGCATTTAAACGCATTTGTTTCGGTTTGTTTTTAAGACCTATATTCATAGCGCACTATATAACATAGTAGAAAAAAATAATGGAACTTTTATTTGAATTCATATTAAATAATGATAATTCCAATTTTTAAAATTAGACATAAATACAGCCTATTCGGTACCAGTAACGACCTACATACTATTTTCTAGATGAATTGCTACTTTTTTGTTAGGGGATCTGATTTTTTGTGATTCTCCTCTGAGGTTTCTTTATGCAGTTAGTAGGTTCTCAACGTTATTACCTAAAATTTTTTTTGGTTAATTTTTCTGATGCATTGCGATTTCACATATGTTTTCACATATGTATTTCCTTTCCTATTTAGAGATACATTACTTACTTCAGCGAGAAATAGTAAAAACTTAAACTACAATGAAGACAATTTTATTGTTTAAATAAATGTAACGCCATCATGATCCACAGAAGTGTTGCACATTTGCATAAATGCAAGAGTAATTGTAATTTTTAAATTACAGCTTTTCTTTTGTATCTCAAAAGATTTAAATATATTCTTTGACTCACACAGAATCTATAATTATAATATGGACACTACATAATCTTATATTTTAAATATGATATTTATGCTCAGTGAGGACTTCTTATGATAATTCTACGCATATATAAACATGTTAACAATACAAAAGTTTATACTACAAAAAAAAAAAAAACTACAAAAAATCATTAAAACGTATTAAAGAAAAGCCTCTCTAGTATAAAATTTAATAAAGCGTGATTTTCGCCAACCGCAATATAAAAATTATATGCATATTTATAGGCGTACAGCTGTTGCAAAATATTGAATTGCAAAAGCGAGAGAAAAATAAAATAGGAAAAAATGATTGGAAATCGTATAAAAAAATTCCCAAAGAAAATTGTTGGCAGCGAAAATATTACAATTAAAATTCACTTCATGATATCGACGGTTATAGTTACCGTTTCGTTACCACGTCTACGGTTAATACTGGAAGCATTTAAGCTCTCCATATAATGTGTCCCTTACAATTCGTATTGTCCGTTTATTGCGGTATTGTAGCTGCTCTTATGGTTGGTCATTATATTAATGACTACTACATTTTTTTTTTCCTTTTTTGTTTTGGTAAGCTCCCAGCTTGCACAGCTCACCGAAAAAAAAAAAATACCTATGTATAAATATATATATAATTTCTTTTCAGTTATTCAGTTATTCCTTTCAGTTATACTGAAACGGAATTATTCTGTATGCAAGTTTTGTGTTCAATCAAAAAAGTATTAAAAAGCAATTAAGTATCAAATTTAATATTTTAATATGACGTTATTATATTTATTTTACCCATATCAAGTGCTCACAATACGATCCATTTGCATGCGGGTGCAACTTAATGGAAGCGCAGGTAAATTCGTCGCTGCACTACGCGGTTGGATTTAACTCGTCAAAAGTGAAATATTTTTTATGAAATTTTTAAATGCAAACTCTTCCAAAAGATTTAATTAATTAATGACTTTATGTGGATAAAATAATATGCATCTGAGTATGCAAAATACTCATTATAAATTTTAAACGAAATTATATCCTTTAATGATAGTTAATTACACATCTTAAACACAAAGTTTTTTCTTTGATTTAAAATAATTATTTTACTTTATACATATATTTCAATATTAATATTTTAGTAACATTATGGATAATATTAGTAATATATGAAACAATATAATTTATACTTAAGTAAGCTTGAGAAAATAAATGAAGATTCACTATAATAACATAGTTCTTAAATCAGAAACTATCAATAGTGTCGTGTGGTACCACTCTATTCTGAATTCCCTTCTCTGGGTCAAACTGTTAGCAAAGAATACTATTTGGTTGTTCTATAATGCTTAGGCAAAGTAATTCGTAATAATACGCAAGAATAATGAGCAGACAATGCTTGCTTTCTGCATGACAGTGATCTATTTCACACTACATTGGTTCTTCGATATCATTTCGTCAAAAATTCCACACATATCGTTTCACAATCATCATTGTCGGCAGATTAAGCATTGTTTCTTTTTTTTATTATTCTGTAAGACCGCTTTGGGAACACCGGTTTGATATATTTGTGTACATAAAAACTGAAGGTGTACGCCATTAGAAAAGTCCTTCGAAAAATTAAAATTAAAAATTGCTTCCAGGATTGGAAAAAACTTTTGCATATATGTATTGTATTGGGAGTGGCAATAAAACAGATTGAAATGAATAAATAAGGATTTTAAAAGTTATTAATAATTTCATATTATTTTCACAAATTACAGATATATCTTATGTAGGAACAGCTAAATTATCTGGGTATATTGCTACCATCATGCAAATTGTTACTGAGTTCCTTCTGTACTGATATTTGTAATAAAAGATGGGAAGACAACGATATGCAGGCATCTGTATGCAAACTGGTCAAGTTTCGATAAAAGGAAATGTAAAATTCTCATTGAGATACCCCATAGAGATATCAGTATTTTGATAGGTTTACTTACAGGTCGCTGTAAAATAGGAAACCATGCTAAAAGATTAGGTGTCCCTTTCAATCAAATCTGTTGAGGCTGTGGGTAAGACGAGAGTGTTTCTCATCTATTATGTTTTTGCCCAGTTCATGCACGGTGGCGACTTAATACTTTAGGAGTCCCCTTTCTTAAGGATCTTGACCAATTACAGGACTTGACATTAAATAGCATTTTAGGCTTCGCCAAAGGTTCTACGTGGTTTTAAACTCTGAGTTTTCCTGTATAAATGGTAACACAATGGGCTAACAGGCGTAAGTGGATCCACTAGGGATCACCGGTATAACCTATATGGTGCGAAAACATTTATTTATACTTAACGACAAACATAGTATTAATTTTTAATAATATTTGAAACTTTTATTTTTATAAATTAGTGATTGTATTTTATTCTACGTGAAGGGATTCTAGAGTTAATCAAAATAATCTTTGGTACTTTAGCATGTCTGGTTAAAATTTGTCAAAAATGAAAAAAAAACACATTGGAAGTGAATTAAATAAAGATACGAATTGGCTCTTCAAAATTCAATTTTGAAATAGAAGTAATAATAAAAATGGGTATATCTAGATTGAATCCAGATTTACCAATCGAAAACGCCATAAGTCAATAGTTTTTAACAATATAACAACTTTCAATGAAACATTTCTATAAATAATAAGAGTTTGTTAATTTTAAAAATAAATTAATTTAATTTATGGTAAAGATTAAAAGCATTTTTAATCCATACAAAATAATTTGTATACGGATTGTTTTAAATTTAAATATAATTAGACTAACCACAGATCTGTGACAAGTTATTAAATACACATTTAAAAAAAAAAATTTACTATATAATAAAATAAATTAAATCATCAATTTTTCGTAACAACAATTTAAATAAATAAAGTTTGATATGGAAAAAATAGATAAGTTCAAATTAAAATTAAATTGTCTTTGGTAAAACACTTTAAACTAATTATTGTAATTTAACTACATAAAATCAATTAATTCAAATATAAAAACTAGTAGTAATGATACTATTTATATAAATAATATATAAATATTTTACTGTGTATAAATAATTCATCGCTTTTTCAATGAAGGTAATAAAATTTTAAAAATGCTTTAGGTCAGAATAAAATTTAACCCATTTACTTAATATTAACAAAGTAATCAAATTGTTTCAAGTTTCTTAATAGATTAAATGGACTCATATATAAATACTGGCATATACATAAATATATTTAAATGTATATAAATATATATAAATATACATAAATAATTCTAATATATGTAAAAAATTTTATATGAAAAAAATCTTTATAAGCGACATGAGTGCGGTCGGTATGTGAAGACAATATGAAAAACGTAAGTGATTTTTTGTCCATGGCCATTATTTATTTTTAATTAAATTTTAATTTATAACAAACTTATGTGTGTAGCATTAAAATATTTTTACAGAATTAATTAAATAATTTTAACGTTTATTTGAATATTGAAATGCAAATTGATTTTTAATAAAATTCGCACTTGCAACATAATTGCCGCTTTTGTACTCATTCAAACCTCAATAAATTAATTTTGAACAATTAAAACTTAATTAAAAAATTGATTTCATTTTACAGCAATATTTCAATATTTCAGTAAGGGAAATTATACCTAATAATGAAAAAATCTGAGAAGTGGAAAAACGTGATGATTTCAATAAGCATAATTGTTTAACAGGTTATATTGTACTTTTAAGTAGGTACTTATGATTATTGATACAAATTAATACAAAAATGAAAAAATAAATATATATATATATAATATATTAATTATAGTAAATATAAAAAAAATATACTATTTACTTCGCAAACTATATTTAATGAGTTAAGTTCAATATATAGTTTTTTAACCTTACTTATACTATAAGAGTCACGTTACTATTCTTAAAAAAACACGACAAGAAAATTCTTCTCAAACTAAATATTTAACAATATCTTACCACAATATTACTAATTATTTACTTCAGTTGTAAATAGTTAAAATAAATAAGTGACTAAAAACTTTACATGTTACAGATTTTACGAACGAGAATACATGAATTTGCACTTTAGTGGCTTTAAAGTACAAAGACTTTTATTTAAAATGTTAAACATAATAAAAGAATAAAATATCCAAAAAAAAAAAAAAATATATATATATATATATATTAGAAACTTACTTGTCAACAACAAGCTTAGTGAAGACTAAGTCCCGCTTATAATAGACTGGATTGTTGTGTTCATGATTTACAGCTTTATCCATAAGAGGATGTGAGCGTATAAAATTTAACACTGTATCCGGCAAATTTGAGGTATCATTGACACAAGTTCCAGGGCGTGGTTCTGGGACACGTGAATTTAATACTGGTAGCCAAGCAGAGTTTGAGGATGACTGTTCCTTGAATTTGCCTGCAAAATACAAAATAGAAATTTTAAGTGTAAAAAATATTTATTTGCAATTTATAAAAGCATTTGTTTGAGAATTTGAAACGAATGGAAGATAATCCCAAAACAATTAAGTAAATTTCCCATAACAACAACCATACACTTAAGTATAATACAAAAATAAAGCAGAGAATATCCTGTTGTATGCGACACTGACACAAATGCAGATCGGTCTGTTTTGTATTAGTAATTGAACTACAATTTTATATTTCGTACTATTAGTTAGTAGGATAATTAGTTTAAAACAGCTAAATAGAACTGTTATGATAAGATATATCTAAGATTATTATTATTGTTAGGGAATTTGTCTATTATGCCCTATATATCTAAGATACATGTTGTTTAAATATTACATACTAAAGATATATATAATTGAATTTTTATATTATAAAATCAATCCTTAGTGGACATAGCTGGAACCAGCGCTGTAGTACTGGTAAGAAACTGTTCATTTAAAAAAAGTAATTTGTATGAAAAGGAAAAAGTGGAGACCAAAATAGCTGTCAGTTTAGGAGAACGTTTCATTAACAAAACTTTCAGTATTGCCGTTCTAATATTTTTACTCTTTCTCTCTTAGGTACACATTTTTTTCTAACATATTCTTTTTTTATTGCAAGCAGAGTTTTGGGTTACAGTATTTAGCAATTTTATTATTATATATTACATATTGATATAGAAAATATTATACTTTGAACAGTTATGTACAGAAATCATAAAACACTTTCTCTGTGAATGCCCGGCCTTGCAGTCCAGAAGAAATAAGTTTTTAGGAAGATACTTCTTTAATAATTTATCAAACTGTTCATTAGTAAAGACCTATTAAAATAGGAGTTGGAAGTTATCTAATGTCCTACCATTGTAACTAATCATGCGAAGTTTACTCTTATTATATTATATGGCTCTAACATAGTTAAATATTACTGTAAATATAATTTCTTTAAGGTGCTCAGTTGCTCCTTCTTCTTATCTGTTTAGTAGTGAGATTAGCACAATAGTTTTAAACATATTTTTATTTTTTGCTTTCAAAAAGTACTAATATTTTCTCGAAGTACACTAAATCATCTTGTATAAAATAAAATACATTTTATACTATCTAAAATAGTATTCAAATCTATTAAATATGTCCTCGAGCATTATTGTGTTAGTTGGAGACACTCTTACAAATTTCGTAAATAGATTACTAGTATATCACCTTTCAAAAGGTATTTTTCATATTATCTCTACACTAAACGGTCGCAAATGGTTAGCATATATCACATCAAAAGGAAATGTCGATTTATGAATCTAATGTTAACTTTTAAACTAGCGAACTATGTTAGAAGATTAGGTCTCACTTTCAATCAAATCTATCGCAGCTGTGGGGAAGACGATGAGAGTGCCTTTCATCTACTATGTTTTTGTTCATGCACAGCGGCGAGTCAACACTTTAAGAGCTCCCTTTCTTGAGGATCTTCATCAATTACAAGACCTGACACTCAATAGCATTTTTGTCTTCGCCAAAGGTTCTAGGTGTTTTTAAACCCTGAGTTCTTCTACATATACGGTAACACAATGGGCCAATAGGCCTAAATGGATCCACTAGTGATCACCGGTATAACCTAACCTAACTTTATTTTAACTTTCATCGGCACTCATATTACTTATCCTAACCGCATTTATATCTCATATTTCTAAATCTTTCAAATTACTTTAGAATAACGCAGTTTTGAGACTTTAATGTTAATTATAATAAAAATACAATAGAGTTTTATAAAGTACCAGTTTCAGTCAAGTTATCAAAAAAAATTTTACCAAGTTTATTCTAACATTTAAGAAATATGTCAGCACTTAATTCATGCAAAAATTTCTGATTTTTTTTTCAATTTTTCGAAAATTTATTCAGTTAATGTCATCAACTAAGAATACTTTCAGCAAGTGTAGCGCACAAGAAGAAAACGCTGACACATGTAACCAAGCAGAACATGCTTGAGTATAAGCATATCGAGGGCTAGCAACACGGTAAAGTACTTTAAATGTGTGAATGCAGTGGTTACAGTAATGCTCGTAAACAATGTCTCTACTGATTGAGTGTGGGAAGATTGTATTTTGTATCCATAATCCAGTAAAATGGATTTTCAAATGCGATTTGCTTTTATAAATCTTCTTTTTTCTGTATTTTATTATTTCTTTTTTTTTTCTTTCTTTTTTTTTTCTTTCTTTTTTTGAAGTACTTTAACTTGAGTGTACACTGTTCAATACTACGTATAAAGTATGTTTTCAACATTACATATACATACATATACCCGTAGAGGAGTACGTACATATATATATGAATAATTCTTGATATATGTATACAGATTTATGGGAAATGTCGGTACCGAAATTGTCGGTACGTGTGCTGCAAACAAGTTGCAATGAAATTTTTGATTTTTTTTATCCTTTATCGAAATTGAATAAAACAAATGCAAAATTTGCAAATACAGTATGTATTTTTTCATAAAATCCTGTAAAGGATTTAATGTAAAAGGATATGCATAAAAAATTTAATGTATTTTTTTACAAGTACTGGTCAGTAGTACTCGAAAATTCAATAGTTTTGTGTTTTGCGTTGCATTAATTTGCAACTGTAAAAGTAACAAATAAGGGATTTCGGTAACAAACCTGAAATCGCTTTACGAATACTTTTTACGTATTATTGTCCGCAAATTTTAAAAATGCATTTATTTTAATATCATAATCCAAATACTGCATAAAAATAGATTAATAATTTATAGATAGATAGATAAAAAAGAAAGTTTTTTAAATTACAAGATACATTTTTTTTTTCCAGCAACACTAAAACTTACCATTAAATGCCGCTTGCACTTCATTGATGTGGAAACTGCACACCGCCGAGCCAATCAATCCATTTGTGCTAGTTGTAAATGTGGCATAGAAACGTGTCTTATCCATTGGCAACTGATAAACCGATTGTATCTCATTGAAGTAGAATGGAAACTCGCCTGATATGCTGCAATTCAATCGCGCCTTTAAATACGTAGCCCAGTTGTGTGCCAAGAGATTTTTTCCACCGACATCCTTCTTGCACACTCGAGCAATACGTGAATAAACCGCTTTGCCACAGTTTATGTATTCCACGGCGGTTTCACGGAAAAAGAAGTACACATATTCGCCAATGTCAAAAGAGCCAACAAAGTTAGGTTCTGTAATACACAAAAAAAAAAATAAAAATGAAAATATAGGGTATGAATATGAAACAAGAATTTTTTTGTAAAAAAAAAAAGGAAATTAAATTATATGAAAAGGGTATTGGAAAAGGATTACATTTTTGTATTTAATATTTCACAATATTAAAGGTAGCAAAGTAGCTATTTTAATTGAAAAATCCCAATCAGCTTAACTGATTTGTGGTTACTGATTTATGCTCTTTCTGTTTTTCACAATATTTAATTGATTGCAAAGTTTATTTTGAGATTTTAATAAAAACATTTATTTATTCTCTCTCCTTATTTAAATTTTAAAAATTTAATAATAAATTTGCTATGTCAATATTATTTTATTTTATTTTATATCATTTTATTTTATTTGAAAACTCTTTTAAACTCTTTACTAACTTTTAATTAAATTTTAAGATTTTTCTTCACTCCTCTTAAGTTGATAATTGTATTAAAACTGCTTTCTAGAGTTGACGCTAGCACGTATTGTCCTGTCGTCTTTATCCTTGCTGCGCTTATTTGTTAATTTAATAAATTTCTTTGAAGAAGCATTAATTTGACGCGAATTATGTTTTTATTAAATCTTTTACGCTCTTCTATGCGTTCCTATTTTAGGTTCTTGTTTCTTGTTTTATCTTTTCGCTCATTTTGTTTAAGTAATCTTTTTAGTTTGTGTTGAGGAAACTTTGCATAATGTCACAGTTTATGCTGAAAATTAATTTAACCGCTGCGCCTTTACGTTGTCAAACGAAAAGTACCTACAACGCACAGTGGAACGAATCCTTAAAACTATACATATCGATTGAATTAAGTATTAAAAGTGGCTCATATACGGACCTATTCTGTGCACTTGACAGATTTGTCAAATTATTTAATAAAATTTTTAATTTTTATAAAGCAGAAAGCTTTTTGGTATTCTGGACACATCTTGACAAATTTCAAAGTTGAAGTATTGTATATAAAAACGGCCTTATTCATAAAAAGTTATAGTAGATTTGTAATACATTTTATCGAAAATGTTATTCATAAACGTTATTTAACAGTGTTATAAAGCATTTATAAAACTGTATTCATAAACGTATTTTAAAGTTAAAATGCTGTTAAAATGCTGTTAAAATATGTCAAAATTTATAATAGGTTTATAGCTTCTATAACAGCATTTTAAGCACAATTTTTGATTGTGTAGTAATTTTTATTGCGTGAATTACAATTAAATATGGATGCCATAAGCATAATTAAAGAAATTGGTGAGTATTTAATTTAATTTTTTATATAATTTTATATAATTATATAATTTTTTTAATTTTTTATACAATTAAAAACGAAACTATTGTGTAGATTTTTTAAATGGAATAGCCAAAAAAATTGTCGCCATTTAAAAATATATAAACAACGTGGAGATCCGTTTATGCTGCGGGATGATGAATTTCAACTGAGGTACCGATTTTCAAAAAAGGGCGTAGAAAAAATAATTGACTTGGTGAAACAGGACTTAACGTTTGATAGTAGAGGCGCTGGAGCTTCCGCAAGATTACAGGTTCTAGTAGCTTTGCGATGTTGGAGTCGTAGAGAAGTAACTAATCTTTTCAAATACTATTACATACTAAAAGCTTTTAATATAAAAGGTACAAGACGATGCAGGTGATTTACACGGCCTTAGCCAGGCTACAGTCAGTCGCATTTGCGTTAGAGTAGCTAGGGCTCTTGCAAAACATGCCGCAACTGTGATTAAAATGCCAGAATCATTAATAGAAGAGGAAGCAAATATGAAAAGCTTCAAACGCATAAAAAATTTTCCAAATGTGATTGGTGCAATTGATTGCACACACATAAAAATTAAAAAAGTGGGTGGAGATATTTCCCAATATTATATAAATCGGAAAGGGTTTTATTCATTAAACCTACAAGTGCGTATTTTTAGTACCTTTAAAATATTTACTTACATTAAAAAAAATTAAATTTTGTATTCACTCCAATACTGAAACCACAAAACGCAAAAGAAGAACGATACAATGCTGCACACATTGCCACCAGAAATACAATTGAAAGATGCTTTGGTGTGTGGAAGCAAAGATTTCGTTGTCTTCTAGATGGGTTGAATATATCATTGGAGAATGCGAAAACAGTTATAGTCGCACTTGCAGTATTGCACAATCTTGCAGTTACTTACAATGAAAATGACTCCAAAATACCTTATAATGACAATTTTTCTGCGGCTATCAACTTTAGTTCCTTATCTGACTGTGAAGAAATATGTGATGATAATTCAACAAATCGAAAGAAACCTAATGTTATATTAAAAACATTTATTGAAAAAAACTTTTAATGAAATTGCAAATTAAATAACGATTTATTAATCTTAAAAAATTTTTTAAATTTTTATTTTTGTGCTGCATTAATTCATATTTCTCACAGTGTTGTAAAATGTTTTGTATTTAACAGTAATGTTATTAACATTTGTATTATAGTTATCAAAGGTTTATAATACGTTTATGAATAATGTGCATTATAAGGCCATTATAAAGTTAAAATACATTTTAACTAAAATGTATTTAAAAAGCATTTTAAGAAATTTTTATGAATAAGGCCGAAAGTGTTTTGTATATAAAACTGTTCGTAATTGTTCGTAACTGTTCGTAAAAAATGCTTGTAAAGAGCACATATTTTAAGTTGCCAAAAGCATTTTCCATGCATTCAAATAACAATAAAAAATATGCTTGTAAAGAGCGTATATTTTAGTTAAGAATATTTGTCATGCATGCAAAAAATAAAAAATGCTTAAAAAGAGCATATTTTTATAGTTGTCAACTGTATTAGTAGTATTGACAACCAGCAAGGAAAAGAGCTTTTTATTTATGTCACAGAATACCAAAAGCTTTACAGCAGTCAATTTTGACAAGTGTCAATGTTTGACAAGTTTATAAAGTGCACAGAATAGGTCCGATAATATATATAGAGGGATTTTGAATAGCAAAGAAAGAAATAAAGGACAAACACAAAAATTTATTTTAATTTTATTGAAGTTTGGCTGACCATACAACGCTGTTTTGAGTATTGCCAAGTACTCTTCATCAGTGATCTTTGGAAATAATTGAATTTTATTTAATTAGTTTATAGTCCGTATATAATTTGTTTGGACTGCAATTGCCAGGCTTAAAACTCGTGCCTGTCATATTAGAAGCGATGACTTGTGTTTGTCCTTTATTTCTTTCTTTGTTATTCAAAATCCCTCTAAATTTTAATAAAGCTTCTTTGTCACCATACAGCTTTACAGCAACACGAGTACTTTATTCATATAATATATATATTAATAATTGTTTTTTTAACTAGACACGATCTCGTTAATTACTTATCAAAAATGAAATCAAAGAATACTGACGCCTACACATTGAAATGCTGAGTGAAATATCTGACGATTTTATTTGTAAGCGTTCTATAATTATTTAATAATAAATCGAGTACCTCTATTTGTTCTTCATTGAATTGACCGTAGTCAGAGGCCTTGAATCAAAGAGTATTTTTAAGTTTGGTTAAGTAGACCTTCCTCAGTCAGCACAATAGAACTTAAAGGTCGTGGGAATCTATTATTCTTAATACATTTAATACAATTTTACAAATTTATATTTTGTACCACTGTATTTTATACTTAAAATGGCAGAATTTCGTTTTTTTCCTTATTTTACGTTTAATAAATTTAATTATTTGCAAAATAAATTATTAAATTGAACAGCGCGCTAGCATGAAAATTACAAGAAAACTTTTAGTGGCTTCTCGAGTATTCTCGCCTACAACGAGGCAAGATTACGAGTAATGAGAATCAAAGTACGCGACTTTTCAGATAAGAGAATGAATGCAAATTGAATATAAATTTGATTTTAGTGAAATTCTTTTCAACACAAAAACAAAGTGACTGCCTCACACTGAACCAAAGGATGACAGTGCAAAATATACGCAAAATATGCCGCAGCCAATAATGGGAATGATGACTTTTATTTGTTGACGACAGAAATCAAATTAATTATGCAAATTTTCTAAACTTTCAGAAGATTTAATTTACGCTTTTGATTTCTTAACATGAGTTTTGTAAAGATTTATCACACTCCCGACGACGGTACGTACACTTATAATTTGAAATATCTATTGCCGAAATGAGTTTGTGTGAACTTGTATGGCAGTTGAAGTATCCTTCAACCTAAAACAAATTTGTTTTATCATATTTCTTGTGCTTGTAAATAGTTTCTTGGAAAATGGAATTTTGTATTTTCACAATTTTCTATTTGGTTTGTTATTTTTTTGCAAATCATAAATAAACAAAACCAATTCACTGTGTAAATTCAACAAAATCCAATTTAAATTGCGCCAACTTCGAAATATCTATTTGCTTGTTTTGTAGTTAAAAAAAAATAAACAAGCAAACTGAAACAGAAACAGAAACAGAAACAGATACAGAGAAAGATACAGATACAGTTACAGTTATAGATAGAATATATATACTTACTGTCCAACCACTTGGAATCATATTTGAGTGTACGTTTAAATTTATATTCCAACCGCTTTGCTGTGATATTATACAAATCCGTACGAAAGATCACAGTATCCGCCTTTGTAAACTCCGCATTTGTGCCCGAGTACTGAAAGGGAAACAAATTGCTGTTTAGTTCTTGAAATCTAAATATATTATTGCACATAATAAAAACATTTTAAATATAAGAAATAAAAATATAAATAAAAACAAAATACATACAATATATGAAAAATCAAAAGCTGATAGCAGAAAATGTTGTTTCACGAGAGTGGTTGGAATATTTCTGTTAGATGTGCACAAATAGAAATTGAAATGGAAAAGTCGCTTAAGTACCTCAAAGCAAATAAGAGTGCGGACAATATAAATATTAGCTTTAGATGACGAACCGACAATATTTAACGAAATGGAAAAGAAATTCAAAATGCTCTACAAGTATATTTGCATCCATTTATGGTACGCATACATAATCGTCTCATGATTATCCTTGAGCTTTTGTACTTATTTCCTTTGTTTATTGAAATATTGAAAATGCTCAACAGTTTTTATTCAGCTTTTTTTTTGTTTAATATCTGAATATATATTTTTTAATGGTAAAAGTAGTTCCTATTCACTGATTTTAAGCTTGGCAACTTTTATATTGCAATAAAATTTTAATCATAATTCTTAAAGCTGTAAGTACTTAAGGACTATTACTTTTATTTACCAACTAAATAGGATATAATATGACTTTGTGACCACAAGAAATATTAAACAATAGGAAAAAAGCTATAAATCTACGTAATATCTCATACCTTGTTTTTAATATTTATAAGTAGTGAACATAATACGGTAATTCAAGGTTAAAGTATGTCCATTAAGGAATTAGCTAGCTTCAAAAAAAATTTTTTACAAAACGCAAGGGTATGAAAAACTTCAAATATGAAAATAAACTTTCCATTAAACTAAAGCTAAGGCAAATATATTTATACACAGAAACGACTGTTTTCAATAAAGAAGTTCACATAAGCCTTTAGATAAACGAACACATTATTAATATTAAGTAAATTTAAGTATTTTTTTTTCATTTATCTCTGTAAATATACCAAAGTGAGAGTAATATTTGTATTTAAACTCGCTGCTCTCCGATAACTACTTTTTCATTATTGTTATTCCTGTTGCAAACGACTAAAATTACAATTAAATATATATCAAGAGCTGGCTGAAAAGTTCGGGTAGATGAAAATGCTTGTTAGTTCCCAAGACTCATATGTTCCAAATTGAACAGAATTCATATTAGTCAGCGCTTTAATTAAAACAGAATGAATTCAGTACTATGATATTGGAGCTGACACTGTACAATACTGTATACTGGGAAGTCGCACAATAAAACTTAATCTATCCTTCAAGAATTTTTGTCAGAGATTCGGATCTACAAACATAGTAGAAACCGTACGTAGTAGAAACTCATATGAAAAGGCCTAACATTGGCTCAGATAATATTTAATATTTTTGGGACCCTTTCTCAACAGAACTCACATTGATTAAAATTAGTGTCATTGATTAAAATTCATAACTAAAGTTTATAGACTTGGCAGGTCACTTCCTCTCTAGTTGAATCGGTGAGTCGCGCTTTCACAATTATCTGAAGTGGAAGCACCAGTCACTATTACAACCTATGTTTACCTAGTTGGTATGGTTGAAAGCGTGTGTCTGATTTGCAAACGCACCGTTTTATAAACGTATATAGGTGAAATTGGAGATCAAGTCAGGTACAAAAGTAAGTGTTCACCATCAACAGGTTCTGTTGGTTTGGTAACTTGACTCTAAAATAGATTATCTTAACTGCGCAAGTAAGTGCCGGAGAGACTAATCAGAATTATTTCAAAATTTTTGGCTATCGACAAATAAAATTAATTCTATTCAATGAAACCCTCAAGGTAACTTTTGACTTTATCGACACAGGCGAGCATGGGTTTGATCCTTTATTACAAAAATCCTACATTAAGCATTATGGTTTGAACTACTTTATTTTTCACAGTTACAGATATTTTCTCTGAGCGCTATGCTCCGACTAAGTGAAACAATTGTAATCATTAACATTATTGTAAATAACATTTATAATATATATCTTTTCTGAAATTAGTAAAAACGTTATAATAATAATATAACAATTAAATTATATTGTGCGGTATTAATTCCAATGTGACTAAAAATAAATAACATCAAATCGCACTTAGAAATTTTGATTAAAATAGATTTGTTATTTAAGGACTTTTATTTATACTGGGAATAAACGGTGGGAGTATTTTAAACCCTTTTTTGAAACTTGAAACAACTGGTGTATATATTTTACTACTATTATTATAATTTCAAATAACCGGTAAACAAGCAACACTTTTTAACCAAGAAGTTAATTTTTAAAAATATTATTAAATATTATTATTAAATAAATAAATATTTAAATATATTAAATATTAGGCTTTGTAGGTATGATATAGAGTTTTAATCAAAATTGTGGTGAATTTTATTACTTATATTTTATATATTTATATTTATTATATATATTATTATGTGATATAAATATGAATTTATATTTATATATATTTACATTTATTATATATATATAATATGTTAATAATATAATATTTTAATAATATATAATATAATAATGTAAGGTGAAATTCAATTACAAAATACAATAATCAACTAAAAGCATTATGAAATTATTTCTATGAAATTGCAAATTGTAAATACTTTTTTTTTATTAATTATCCAAAAAGAAAATTAAAATGCATAACTTACCAAGCCAGGCAATCCACCGGGATTTCCTTCCTCGACATAAATTGCTGTTGAATTATCAAGTGGATCGTAAGGACATTTAGCAATGCCCAAGCCAACACCGATCACGTATTCGGAGCGAGGTAAATGGGTTAAATTTGACTGTAAATAAAATACAAGAAAAAGGAGAATTAAAATTAAGGACATGAGAAATAAAATCAAAAATGTTGCCATGGCACGTTTAATAGACAGCAAAACCATAAAAAAATATAAAAAATGTATTAGAAAATACTTAAAATTGCAAACAGCACTAAAAATTGTTCAACAAAGTTGTGCTGAATTGTTGAGTTGAATCAAAAACTAATGAAACAAAACAAAAAAAAAAAAACTAAATGAAATAAAAAAGTGTACTTCCCAAAAAAAGCGATTAGTAAATGGTGTGCAACGATTTTAAACAAAAACTTATTAAGTCATGTACACTCTTGTGATGTTTGACTATGGAACTATTTTATAGAGTTTTGAAAGAGTACAAGTACAAGCACACACATGAATAAACATGTTAGTTCAAAATTTTTCCGAATCTTCAGAAGAAAAGTATGAGATTAAAAATCAAACTTAAAAAACCAAACGTAGTTTATCCTGGTTTGAGGGCGAAAAATAAGTATTTACTTTTTTCATTGGCAGGATTAGATTTAAAACAAAAATTAAAGATACTGAATATTCAATAAATAGATAAAATTAATCAATTAAATTATAATAAAATTTTACCGAAATGGAGATGAAGATATAATAAGTAATTAATGAGTACTGTTCAATGAAAGAAAATAAGGAAATCAGTTTTTAAATCCTTGACATTATATTCCCAAAGTTGTGATAAGTTAGAAAAGTTTGATGTCCTGAGAAAGATTTTTTGATGTTTTTAAATCAAACTTTATTTTTTAACTTCATAAAATAACATTAAAAGTCGGTTCAATATTGATTTTTGTGGTTAGTAAAACTTGATGAGAATAGAAATTAATTTCATTTTAGTTTTTATTTTTCATTATACGTAGTTTTCCATTACGTTTTAATTGTAATTATAAAACTAGAAAATGTTTTGGGATAGAGGAAGTTTTCATAACAAACTTTAATTCAAAACATTTTAAACAAACACTGCTTTTCAAAGAAGAATAACTACTCTGATAATTGCTGAAGAGGAAACAATGCACAAAAATAATGAAATCACTCCATCAGCTTATTTTATTTAGATCCTGGTGATAATTAGCAGAGTAATCTCTTGACAACTGGAATATATTTAACAAAAAGAGTTATTTTTACATTATTACAAACAACATATTGTTATTTATTATGTGACCATCAGAATCCTGTGTAATTAACACACGTTTTAGGTTACAAAACCTTATTGGGCCAAATTAGGTAACAAAGCAGTCAGCCAAATCAAATAAAGCAGGACCTACTAAGTCCTATGGTTTCCTGGAGATCCTGGAGAGAAGTACTTACTTCTTCTTTCTTCAGCTTGCCAATATAGAATGGATGACACTTTGCCGGTTAAACGGACTTTATGATGGGGGAGCTCATTAAAAGGGAGCTAAAAGGAATACTGTAAGATTTACTGCAATTCTCTCTGGCGAATGACATGACCCACAGGAAAGGGAAAATTGCTTCAGCGACAGTGCTTTTCTTTGGTAAATAGAATTTAAAATATCTATGTGACGTCTATAGACTTAATAGATTGATTCTCTTTTATTTCTATATCCATGCATTTAATATTTCTGTATTCTAATTATTTTGGAGGTTTTACAGTTTAGTTGAGAAACAATGTTTATTCGTGGTGTTATAATGGATCATTATTTCAACTCAAGTGCGCTTTGTCACAAGGCCACCACTCCAATCTAACTCAACCTTAGGCATTTTAATATCATCTGTATTAGACATTTATAGTATTAACTATTATATCATTTAGGAAAATGTGTAAATATTACACTACAAATTTAATACAATATAAATAAACATAATTTGATAAATATATAATAATAATGATAATTTTTGACAACGAGATCTTACAAAAACCAAACAACTTATAAAAAAACAGTTCTCTCGAAAACACTGCTTCATTATTCTGTGATATTGTCTAATGTTTATGTTTCTGCGCTTTATAGAATCACAGGCATGATGAACGACCTATAGAGCGTAAGTTTTGTTTGTTCAGAGAGAGAGCTCTTCATCCTAATTGCCTACTGAGGCCGTAATCGTACCAATTGCAAATGGTAATTCTTTGATACAGATAATATATAGCCTTATGTTTTTGTTTATGTTTTTAAATATTTGAGGCATGATGCCAATATAAGTGTAAGAGTTGTTGTGCAGTGAAACCATTTTAAAACCGACACGTTGTCAAAAATTGTAATTCCTGAAATTGATCTATTTCATGTTACAGTTTGTACAGATTCTGTTTTATCACTTTTATGATATAGTTCATACAACTTGGTCATGACCTGAGAATGGATAAAGATGTTCCAGTGAAAAAGATATTTGAAGCTGTAGTTGGAGAAAGTTATAGAGATAGACCCTGTGATCAAGTTGAAGGAGCACTAACCGGAGTTTATGTACGAGACTAAAGAAGGCGTGTATGTAGAGCAGATAAGCATAGAGAGATATGCTATATTAGGCTGAAACCCGATAACGGGTTGTAATGGCCATTTAAGTAAGTTAGTATGAAAGTAAGGATATATTTTGTATTTTAAAGTTAAATGGTAATACGAACTATTTATTTCATTTAGGTTTCTGCAGGCTGAAAATAGAATATATATAGATCAACAAAATTTTCTTTTTTATATTCCTATTTTTGTTTTTTTAAATTAATTTATGATGGGGAGGAGGTTGAATGCTTTATGCACCGTCAAACCGAGTGTCCGAATCGTACTGTGTAGTATACAAACTAAAACAGCCCCTCTTCTTCTGCGGGATTCTGTGGAAAATAATAATTATAAGTAATCAATAGTGAGCGTGACCAATATCAGACAATGACTAAATATTTAATAAATACTGTGTAGAATATTAAAGAAAATATTTAAATATGTTTTTTAAAATTTTTTTAAAAATAAAAGACATATTTTTTGAAATATACATATTTTCAATCGTTTTCTCCGCATTGACATCCACTGTGCAATCAAAATAAATATTATTTTCGCACAACATTAAAGTGACAGCAAACGTTTTCACACGAAATGTGTCAATTGAATGTGAAAATGCGTTGTCAGTGTTACCATTTTTCACTGATTGCTATCTGGAATTACACAAAACTCAACTCACATATGCACAGAAACGCAAAAGCACAAAAGCGCTCACATATTGACACAATCGAAATATATGAAGAGCTCAAGAAATGTCCTTGCTGCATGCTACAAATACAAAGCAAGCAAAATAAAAAGGATTTACTTTGCACAGAGCATAAAGGAAAATTCTTAACGATAACTTCAATATGTCTTACAATATGAATATAGGATAAAAAAATAAAAAAATAAAAAAAATATAAAAGCAAAAATAAAAATAAAAAAAAAACGCAAAAGAACAAATATAAGAAAAATCACTTGTAAATATAAAAGAGACATAATGTATGTCTGTCGACCGAAGAAACCGGGGGGAAAAATACAACTAAGCAACCATTTATTCGTTAGTTTGTGTCCCCCAACACAGATTTTTTATGTGCTTCCCTTGCTTTTGTTGTGTCTATTATGTTTCAATTGATACTTACGTAGATGACATAATCCTTGGGATTGTGAGCATTTGTGCCACAGATATAAAGCCTGTTGCCTTGCTGCATTGATTGTATGACACGAATGTGATTTTTGCAATCGAAAACCTATAAAAACACAAAAAGAGAAGAAAAATACTGTTAAGTTGTCGTTTAGTTAACATTTTTTTAAGTGTTATGTGGCATTAAAATAATAACATAATGTATATAACATAAGAATAATAAAAACGTTGTGTAGTGCGATTATTTTGTCGGAAAAGTCTGTGCATTGCACATGGCACATAGCACATAGCAATGCACAGATTGAAATTGCATGTGAGTACACAAAAATAGAAGAAATGTAATAGTAATTCACATAATAATAATATGTGAACACTTCACTTTAAAAATGTGTCATAGACAAAACGTTAAATGACGTTTTGGTATGAACATAAAATTTTTTGGCTTAATCAAAAATAAAGTTGGAATGAAGCATGCAATCGCAGCTGAGACTTGTAGTTTCCAGAAAAGCTTTGAATACTAATTACAAGGAAAAAACGTCAATAGATTTTTAATATTTCAAAATTATTTTTACTTAAAACCAACTTTAATATATTTTAATTAGTTTATATTTTGTTAAATAAATTAATTTTATTCTTTTATTTTATGGTTGTTTAATTTTATTTCTCATTTTTCTAACTGATTTTATTGTTAGTGCATTATTTTATTATATTCCATTTTGTATTCATTTTATTTTAATTTTATTTATAATTTTTTTATTATTTATGAACATTTTTTTGTTATTTTTGATTATATTCTAATATTTATGATTTTTTTTCTTAAATTTTTTGCTTCATTTTATTTTATTTAGTAATAATTACATCAACATTTTATTTATGATTTTTTTTTCATACATAAGTTACGGATTCTGTAATCAATTTTATTTTATTTAGATTATTTTATTCTATTTATTTATGTTTATTTTTATTATTTACGATTTTTTTTATTTTATAAATTTTTTTTATTATTTATGATTTTTTTATTATTCTATTTTTTTCTATTGCTTTATTGTATTTTATTTATTATTAATTATATAAAAATTGTATTTATGATTTTTTTTATTATTTATGAATATTTTTTTTATTATTTTTGATTATATTCTAATATTTATGTTTTTTTTTTATTAATTGTTTGTTTTATTTTATTTTATTTAATATTTATTGCATTAAAATTTTATTTATTTATTTATGTTTATTTTTATTATTTACGTTTTTCTTTATTTTATATATTTTTGCTTTATTTTATTTTATTTAATATTTATTGCATTAAAATTTTATTTATTTATTTATGTTTATTTTTATTATTTACGTTTTTCTTTATTTTATATATTTTTTTTTGTTATTTATGATATTTTTATTATTACTAGTTTTGCTTTATTTTAATTTAATATTAAAATCATTAAAATTTTATTTAAAAAAATAATTTTTTTTAATGTTATTTATGATTTCTGTAATGAAATTTATTTTGTTTATATTATTTTATTCTATCATAATTTGTATTATTTTTAGTAATACATTTTCTGACTTTTTTTCTCTTCTTCATTTTAATAAATTTTTTCTTTATTATTTACTTGTAATTTTATGTACTCTACCTTGTTTTATTTTATTTTATGTTGTATTAATTTTCATTATTACTTATGATTTTTTTTTATTTTGATCATTTTTTCTCTTCTTAATATATTTTCTAATTTCTAAACTTTATCTTAGCTTTATTTATAATTTTTTTAGTCGATTTTTTATTCTCTTCTCTATATATTTTTATTTTAATTTAAAATTCAATTAAAATTAGTTTTAAAATAAATAATCAAATTTTTTATAAATTTTATTAAATTTTCAATTATTTGAATTTAATGTTATTTTATCTTATTTTTTAATTTATATTAATTTTTTTTATTAAATTTTCTCTACTAATTTTATATTAATATATATGTATTATTATTTTATATTAATCTATATTATTATTTCATTGCATTTTATTTTATATAAATATTATTGATTTTTTTAATATATTATTTTTTTGTTCTGGCTGAAGGCCGCTTTTTGTTAAATTATAAAATTTAAATATTTTTTATGAAACTCTATACAATATAGACGATTGAACAAAGATTAGGACGTTTATGCATTTTTAATAATAGTAACTTATAATCGGAATCCTGACGATGACTCTCAAGAAGAGTCGAAATAGAGTTTTAAAAAAAAATATTAAAGTTTTATTATTTAACAAGAACGGACCTACAGCCAGAATAAAAATATAAAAAAACCTTTTTAATAAGCAGATCGATAAACAAATTTAAAAAAATTTTATATATTATTTTTTACAATTTATTAATTTTATTTTAACTTTATATAACTTTATTATAAAAACCCTATATAATTAATTTTATTTTCTCTTCTTTATTATTTCTTAGTAATAATTTTATATATGATTTGTCTTGATTTTATTTTTTCTTATTTATTTTACTTTATTGTATTTAGAATTAGTTTTATTTAAGATTTATGATATAAAATTGACTTTTCCTGATTTTTTTTATTTTATATTTATTAATTTATTTATTTTATTTTATTGCAATTGAAGTTATAAGGATGGTGGAGGCCCTATGCTTCACTGTGAGATAAGGATAAGAGGGAGTGTGTAAAGCATCTTGTATTAGAATCTGACATGTCTTCTTAATAGTATGTTAAAAAGGGCATACATCCCTTTTCTTACGCTTACAATTTATTTATAATAGTTTTAATTATTTTTTTTAATTTTTTTTTTAAAAGTATATAAAAATTTAAAACAAATTTTTGTTAATAAATTGTATTTTCCCATATTTCGATTCAAACATATTTAACCCCAATGAGTTCTACACATAAATTCAATAAATTTCTTTGACAAATTGAAAAATTGCATTTAAGCCAGTGCAATGAATAAAAATTCTATACAAAATCAATTGCAACAATGAAGCACACCGAATTTTTAGAATAGAAAATAAAACCAAAAAAAAAAAAATAAATAAATATGTATATTTATAACGGAAGTTGATTCGTGCGGCAACGTACATACAAATGCAACCACCCACTTAACTGGGAGCAGAGCGAAAATGTATTGAGATAAAACTGCAATCCATACAGCAGCAGATTTTAGTTGCAGATTTACCAACGGTATGCCACAATGGCAGCACTAATATTGCAATGTTGGAAGATGATGACTTTGGCAATACGTTTATGTATTGAACAAATTGCAAAATAACGCCAGGACCAAAAGCGTGCAATTTTTATATATTTAGAAGAATGATTGCAATTGCAACAACACCAACGCCAACCTCAATAGCAATAACAACAACAACAACAACAAGAAGAAAAATGCAGTCAACAACAACAGCTTCAACAATAATAGCAGCAACAGCTGCAATTGCATAGATGCAGCAGTTACTTTATCGTATATGACAATAAATTGTAAGCCACGAATAAATTGACGAGATTTAAAATGAAAGGATATGCTGTCATATTGTAAACGAATTACAACAATAACAACACATACATAAATTGATATACACATATATTTATTTTGAAATAAAATAAAACATAAAAGGAAACAAAATCACTGACATGTATTTTTATGCGTGTTTAAAAGTATATTGTATATACACATATATATGTATATAAGCTGTGTGCGCATTTAAGGACAACAAACTGATGTACTCGTAAATGCAGACTAAAGCCAAAGTCATCCTGTAGATACGTATAAAGAGTACGAAGCTAGATACAAAAATCAATCAATGTTTTCAAGTACATATGCAATTTTTCTTAGGATTTTGGTTTATAGAAGTATAAAGCACATATAGAGCATAGATATCTGAAAGGATATATGAGTTAAATTAACTTTAAGTATGCACAGTCGAGTGCGCGGCAGATACACCAAAGTAACGTTAAATTGAATTTGAAGAATTGCGCACGTTCGATGGATTTTGAGGTTTTGCAGCTACGGAGAAGTCAATACTTGATGTAACTGACTTTGATGTTAAAAAAGAAGGCAGATTAAATACCATTTACACTTGTTGTAAGGGTTCTTATATAAAATAGACACTACTCGTTTGCAATTTGCTTGAAGTTTTATAAATGCATGTACATATGGCACTACGAATACATATGCCGATTCAGATTTATATAAATGTAAAATATTAAATAAATAAATTCATATAAATTACTAGACTAGAAACATATGTTAAGAGAGTGAAATTAATTTGAATTTGATTTACTTACTTGGCTTTTTCCTTTAGAAACGCAGCTGACAACATCGTCACGTGTGGGTTCCAAATTAATGACATCTCTCTGTAAGTAAAATAGAATGTAAGTAATTCAGTTCAGTTAGGGAAAAATAAAATATTTAATAAATAAATATAAATTTATTAAAGAATTTCTGAAGCACAAATAAATTTTGTAAATCAAATACAACACACGTTTTAGTAATATAATAATTTAAAAGTGATATAAATTAATATAAATAAATATCACAGTAAGTATGTATAATTTAAATGATAAAGCGCATAGAACTTAAAAAAAATACAGCGAAATTTAATAAACACAGGCAGATACAAAGACATCAGATCCATCATATTATAAAGCCCCGTATTCAGTTATTCTTAGTGTGACTTAAAACTGTCCACAGATAAAATAGAGTAAAGGTGGTGATTCACCAACTCAAACATCTGAATATCAATAGAACTTAGTTACCGTGCAAACTGAAAAATTAAAGACGAGAAGAACTTCCTCTTCGGTATAAATAGCGGATAGATGGCTATTACGTTACTATAGAACCAAATAGGACAGTCTAAGTTTCATAACTAACAAGAACAGGTTAATAACACGAATTATTTTTGAAAGATCTATCTTAATCTTTAAGGATATCCGCCAAGAGACGGGAGTATTCCGTACTACAATATCCCGTACTACAATATCCCGTACTACAATATCCCGTACTACAGTATCCCAGTACAGAAATTTTCATTTCGGAACATTTTATTTTTGACAAACCAAAGCATTTGTATAAAAAGTCTTTAATTGTGTCTTTATTATTATTGCAGACCCTGTACCTACTACATTTTTAATTAAGGGAAATATCTATTTTTCGGCATAAGTGCCTACTCGTCAATGGTCTGTACGCAACGCCATGAATTTTATCACATTCATTTTAACCCTGCCCCGTATTATTTTTCTTTTCGGAAAATTTTTACTTGGATATGTTAGCTCGGATTTTCGCAGTCATTTCCTAGTTTTACAAAAAGATTTTAGATATGAATCTGTCACCATTTAATGGGATCAATACTAATTTCTGTGTTGAGTACAATTGCTTTCATTCTCTGGTTAGTTAAACCATAATTTTTTTCTTGTACTTTCTGATGCGTTAGTACTGAAATCAATGTTATTGGACACTGATTACTTACTGATAAAATAAATATTTTATAGTTTGATTAGATTCAATTTTGTGCTATAGTTAGGTAGTATGAGACTTTCCATTTGTCTATTTCATTGCAATAATTTAAGCTTGGAATAGACTGATTAAGTTCAAAATATGAAAACACTTCCTTATTTTCTCTTGATCTGAAAAGTTTACTGTGCCACACCACACTTTAAATTTGAGCAATTTTTGAGGATACGGTAATCTCATTTAGCTGCAAAAGTTGTGTAAGGGATTTCCAATTATTTATAAGAACATTAAAGAATGGAACTATGCACGAGATGATATATATTTGATAGCAATAATAAACTTAATTGAAATAAGTTTAAAAATTCACATAGATTTCGCAAGGTTCAACAGCTAGTCTGCGGCATACTTCACATACACCACATATAGGTCCGTTACGTTGCTCAAGCGCTTATATTGTAGAATGGTTCCATCCTACATCAAAAACAAGCTTCCATCAAAAGCTTACTGTATCAGTTCAACCAAATTTATTTTCTTGATGAATATTGAATCAGATCAGAATTCAGTTTTTGATATTTCTTTGGCGTTCTTGTAGACTAGCTTCTTGCTAGGAGCATATAGTTCAGATATTTGGCATATAATTTAGTTATAAACTTTATAAGAGAAATAAATATATGCTGTCAATTAGACTTACAATTGAATATAAATAAGGTAATATTTTTATTATTTACTGTTTTTTGTTGCATATGTTGATAATCAGTTAAAAAAATTATAAAATATTCTGTGAAATTTCGTATCTCAATCAAAATTTCTTAATCTTACAAAAATTGCAATAATGTACATTTATTTTACTTAAACAAGAATTTATATCTCTGCTATAATGTTAACAAAAAATGTCACTTCAGCATTTTTAACATAAGTGACATATAAAATTGCTAGAAACTATCTCTTACATTTCAATATCAAATTTTAAGGATTTATTTTAACTGACATTGACAGCACAATTTGCTTATGCAGATACATTTAACTCTTATCTAATTTCTTACATAAAGCATAGATAATTGCATTATTTTAATAATTTGCTTCAAGCTCTCAAATTAAACTAAGCAAAAAATAGTTTATTTTATAGAATATTTTGCTGCTCTTCAGCTCTTCTATCTTTCAAAAATATATAAGAAAAGAAAAATTATTATTTTCTTGAATATCATATAATAAATTATTAATTTTATTTTAAGTTTCTTTTATGTTTCTCACAGGACAAATAACAACTTCATTCCATCAAATCCATAAAACACATATAATGCAATGCAAGACTTATTAGTTGGGGGAAATCTGTTAACAAACAAAGAAAACTTAATTAAAATTATATGGAAAAGTGTAAAAAAAAGCATTATTATGCGAAAGAAAATATGTGATATACACTAATTCCGAGTAGTGAAAATCTTTGAAAGAATAACAGGATATATTAACACTTTGCTAGTAAGTATTTGTCTTTGTTGGAATTGTTATTTTTAATTACGAGTGCGTATCTTCATCCTGCAATTGAGGACGAGCACAGCACACACATCTATCCTGCGGCATCGTTTTCGTTGCCTTTGTGCAAGGATTCATTGGTAAAGAAACAGTTGTTGGGTAATACAAAGCATTCGTAGTATATAAGCTTTGTCAGTCTGTGATAAATTAGTTGCGACAAAGTGGAGTAAAAATATACAAAAGCCAAAGAGTTGAAAGTGATTCGAACTTATCGCAGCAGTGGGGGTTCGTGATGTAGACATTCCACTTGACTTAGGTGTGTAGCTGCTTTTGACATTTCTCTCAAAAGTACTTGAAGTGACGAAGTGTTGAAAATGTTTGAAGTTTATTGTCTATCGTCGTGCCTTTAAAAGGTTTATTAAACAAATTTAACAAAGAAAATAAGTCTTTTGTGGAGTAAAATAAAATTTTTATTAAAATTTTTATTTAACTATTTTGACGCACATTGAAACTAAATCTTTTTGCTTTTAATATTCTTTCTATTAGTTGACATTTTATCATGAATATTTTAAATATTTTAAAAAGAAGCTACACTATTTGATTGTTCTAATTGGTTTCAATTGGTTTCTTTGACTTTAAATTATTTTAATTGAAAAGTAATTTCCTTTACTTTAGCTTTCTTATTTAAAATATAAATACTTAAGAATAGACTCAACTGATTAAACTGAGATATTAGCTTCCTTATTTAAAATACAAATATTAAGAAGACTCTCATCAACTGATTAAACTGAGATATTAGCTTCCTTATTTAAAATAAACACTAAAATATACACTATATATACATATACTATACATAAAATATACACTCACACAAAAACGTGTGAATTATGAGGTAGTATGTTATATGAAAGATAAATTTTTTCACTAAGATAATGTAAGACCTCTTACAATTTTATTAACTCGCCAAACACTTTTATAGTTTGGGTAGGAACTTGATTCTCCAGATTTTTCACCTTCGGATTATCAGTTGTTCCAGTCTCTACAAAAGTTTATAAATATCAAAATCTTTACATCACAACAAGAGAACTCCAAAATGACTCGGATCAGGTTTTGGTCAGGACAGCAATAATCAGAAATTTTATGAGTGTTTAATAATGCTATTGCTGGAGAGATATTAAATTATTGGACGAAAGTTATAGTTCGATATATTGAAATATTTTGCATCTGCTAAATATTGGTTTGTTGTTGGATATCCAATATGTCAGTCAAGTTTCTATGCATTATTACTGTCATTGTGGGTCAGCTTTTCTTAATTTTGTATAATCTCTTGGCAACATTTTTAGAATGTTTTTTATGACATTGGCCATGAGCTGCACACGTGATGTCTGCTTCTTAAGTGGCCTTTAGACATCAACGCGCGTTGACAAACACACGAAGTCTTCTCTCTCCATTACACATTAAATTTACCAACAATTTTTTGAACACGCCTCCAGCAAACAATGCAAAATTTGTGCACTCATCAGTATTAAAGCAATCGCTGAAGTGTCGACAGCGGCTGCTATGCGTAATTTCCTTACGAAAAATGATGACATTTAATTTATAATTTTAATTTATATATTTATATTTATTTTTATGATTTCAATTTATATATTTATTTTTATATATATTATATTTTATATAATTTAATTTTTTTTTTTGGTATTTTTTAATAACAAATTTTCCGTAGGTGCACAATGCAATTAATATTTAAAACAAAATTTTTATTGTAATTTAATGTTTGGTTATTTTTTTTTAGCCCAAGTTTATTAATATTTTAATTCTCCTTAATAAAATGTTTTGGAAATTAAAAAATTTTACCTAGGTAGAAAATACAAATATTTAAAATAAAATTCATTCATATTTGCAAAGCATCGCATGCTAACGACAAATCATGCGTGCATTTAAGCGATGTTTACGCTTCCATTTCTCAAAATAAATAAAATTTTGCATGCCGACCAAATCCGACTGTATATGCAAAAACACGAGCATGTTTGAAGAAATATCAAAATTTTTTGATTTTCGTCAACACATTTCTTAAAATTTCAAATGTTACTATTACACAAACAAATTTCGCATTTCACAAAGTAGGAGAAAAGTAGGAGAAAAAAATTCTCATGTGAGAGCGATTTTTTAGTATATTTGTTGTTTTATCTGGGGCGTGTTTAAAAAATTTTTAAAAAATTGTTTGTGTAATGGCAAGCGCGCGTTGACAACGAACGTTGCTGTCTAATGGGCCCTTTATGTGTATTAATGTTTTTATTCTGTAGATTCGGTTTACTAGACTTTAATAAAACTTCTGTAATACGTTCCACCTTTTCTAATTTTTCTGCTTGCTTTGTGGACCCCACACTTCTGGTAACACTTGACTATATGGTTACTTATATCAAAAGAAACCAGATTTTTAGAAACCATTTTTATATATGAGGAAACCATTTATGTGCAAAATTTTTAGAAAAATATTTGAACCAGTTAGAGATAACGATAATACTTATCTTATTAAATATAATCTGAAGCTCAAGCAGATGATACGAAAAACTGGAGGAGTTTACAAACTAGGAGGAAGATTGCGATATAGATTATAGCCACTAAATATGATTTCATAAAGATAAATCTACAAAACTACAGACAAATAGTCTCATCTAGGTATTTGCTAACGACTATTAAAAGACTTTGACAGTAACACACCAGGTGCTTTAGACTTTTCTTTGCATCCGGCTAGTTGCATATCCTGCAACTAGTTGGTCCTAATTCCTGTGAATTAGGTTTAGTTTATGCGTATGTGACGCGACCAGACAGTGACCTGTCAATAGACCAATTAATGTTCTTATTAATGTTTTCAATTAATTATTATAATATTAATTTTAATTTCATTTAAGTGATATTCTATCCAGAATACTTTAAAACTGCTTCAAAAGTAATCTAAGATTTAGTTCACATATCAATAACTCAAAACCACATTTATCACACCTACACCAAAACCGCCCATTTAAATAGACAATAATAATTTAAATCAATTTCATGGAAATCTACACAGAAAAGATTTAGCACACATATTTGCATTAGTAATTAAAATCAGCAAACGAAATACGAAGGAGCATAGAACTCATTTCAATTCCTCTTTGAGACTTTTAGCTGCAGGACATTTCTATATGCATTTGTAATACAACTGTACTCGAAGTGCAGCGGTGATTTAAAAAGGTGTCAGAGATATTAGCCAAACTTTGTGATAAAATTAAATAACACCTCCAGTCAGTTTGCAGCACAAATAAATTAAATTTATTACATGCGAGCATTTTGCACTGGTATAGCATCATGTCCTGACCATATGCAAACATGAAGGACATTAGTCCAATAGAGGTACTGTGGGACTGTGCGAAAAAGCTTAGGAATGGCGAGTTAAGATGAATGCGGTATCATTTCGTTTAAATTTACTTATTTTCAGTGTCTGTTAGTGTGAAGTGATGGTAATTCATTTGCGCATGAGTTCATTTTATTTGCTAAGCAAAATAAAATTAAATAAAATTTTTACTTTGTCAACGAGTCGTGCTTAAAAATAAACTTTATTCAAATGAGCAGAAAGTTTACTTACACTATGCGATTTAATCTGATTAAAGTTTGTGCAAAGAGAACACTTGTGGTGCTAAGTGTGATAGCGTTTAAAATGGGAAAAGTGCTTTTATGCACCTTGTATTTAAAATAAAACTGTATATTAAATTAATTATAAACTTCTATGAAAGTAAGAATATTTATACATAGAGCAAAGGGATTTCAGAAAAGTTTGCTATATTTTAATATTCCTTAACATAAATATTTCTACTATAAATACACAACCCTTTACACTCAATAACATTTTTTTTTGTTCTAATTTTTACTGAATTTATATAACATATACAAAAATTATTTGTTGCATTTAAGATATAGGCTTGATATATATCATATATCGTCGTATAGATATATCGTATAGGCTTGAATAAAAAAAATTTTTAGTGAGTATAACAAAACACACTGTTTTAAAATAATAAAAAATTCAAATAGGGACTACAAACTAAATAAATCAATACGTATGTATGAACACTCTAGATGAAGAGATAATAAAACATTTAATGGCCAGATCCCCAGTTTTATCATACACGTTGCAATTGGTGTTTGCAAAATGAGAATTAAAAGAAACAAATTGTACCGAAACTCAATTCAAAAGTTAGCCCGTTCACTTAATAAAATGAGAAGCTTAGCTTTACCTGTAGTCAAAGTGTGAAATGGAAACTAACAGAAATAGATTATAAAATAATTCATATCTTATAGCCTATTTACTTAATAAAATAACTAGGCACAATAGACCTACCTGTATAAAATGGATTTCAACTTGAAAGCTAATTCAGTTAAGTATTACTTGGCTACCGTGTTTGGTATATCGATCCTTTCAACTTTTACCCTACAGCAATTATTGTATCATACCGATTTTATTTAAATATGCTTTAACTGAAATTTTTTTTTATTGTCCACCGAAACTCTACTTCTCATGATCTAATTCTCAACATCTGCTCAATTACTTAAAAACTTAACTTAGATCTTTAACTTCCTAATATCAAGAAACACAGTTTAGTCATAATTTTTTAGATACTCTTCACTTTGCATTACGCTATAATGCTGAAACCCACAACTCTGGAAGGTAAGTCCTTCAATTCTCACAACCAAGTCATAGCTTCATAGTTTGTATTGTGCATAGTGCTGAATGATTGTCTTTAAAAAAGTGCAAACCGAACGGAAGCTTTAGGCTTCTTAGGTCGAATTGAACTGATGAAAGAACCCAATCAGTGTGATAAGTTTAATTCCGCGTATGAGACTACTTAACCGTATTACTTTAGAAATTTCATTGGCTTTAAAGCGACATTAAAAGGAGAAACAATTTTAAATGGAAGCTTTAGACTTCTTAGTCTAATTGAACCGAAAGAAGAACCAAACCAGTGTAAGGGATAGTTTAGCGTGGTAGTTCCCAACCGGTAGTCCGCAGACTACTTGTGCTTAAAAATGGTACGTGAATCAAATTTAATAGGTATGGCTACATAACTTGTAGTTTGTACTCTGAGACCTTACTTATTAGAAAATATAAGCACAAAAAATTTTCAAGTATTTATATATCTATTTTATAGCCTATGTTATATGTATGTTATAATGTATCTATGCATTTATACACATTACACATTATAGCAGAGATATATAAAGCATATTCAAATAATGATACAGTTCATTATTCTTAAACTTTAAAGTCCCCACTAAAAACAAAAATATCATAGTGGTTGTTGGTCAAAAAAAAGTTGGGAACCACTGGTTAATCACTTGACCGAACGACTGAGAAATTAGTGCAGATGGTCTAAGTCTAAGTCTAAGTTTTAACTGTGGATATGATATAAGATGGCAGAAGAAGAGTGTTTGTAGCTTTTTATATGTAGAATAATCAAAAACTATTATAGTATATAAAAATAATAATATATAATAATAATAATAATATGTAATTATTATTATTATAATAATACCATAGTGTTTCATTGTAGTTGTAAAGAACATTAAAGTGAACATAAAACCATAGTGTTGAATATTTTTTTTTTGTTATTTCATTTTAATCCAATGAAATTTCAGTTAAATAGTAATTTCATTTTTGTGCAAACTCAATTTAATGTGATTTTAATTTTGATCTAATCGCAATAATTTACATTAACTCGAAATTTTGTTGTCTATTCAGCAAATATTTCACTATTCAGCTTCCAGTTCACGTACACCACAATTTGTGCATAATGAAATTTAAACAACCTTTCCTAAAGCATAACTCAGCAATGTTTCAAAATTCGCTTAAAAAGTGTAAAAACTCAATATTAACATTGGAATGTATGAAGGCAGTAGGAAATTCTCTATTTTATCACATCTGCATATTTATGAAATTTGCTATGTAGGAACATAGATTTGTAATGCACATAATAGTGTATCTTCCATATCTCAGCACATACGATCATATGCCGCAGCAGCACTTGGACTGTAGAGTACATGTTTGTTTGTTAGCTTTAATAATATTGGGCGCTTAGGTGGTATTAACATATTCGCAACAAAGCACAAACTGATACTACTTCATTTTGCAGGCTTTCAACTAAATTGATTT